ATCTAGCTGGGTACATTTTTACGTATAAGCCCCGGGCCCTAATTCAATTTGCAGGTAAATCAATTGGAACRTTAAGCGTCTGAGCCTAAATCACGTTACTTGGGTTCAAGGATCCACTGATGCGACAGTTTCCAGAGATCAGGGCACTCGAGTAACAAATGGCCAACGTCAGGTTTCCCCTTTTATACAAATGTATTTTGAGCTTTGGAAGCTGGTTTACCAAACCCAGCTGGGCAGGTGGGTCAGAAAATCGTGCTTCCTTTTTTACCCTATTTATTCATTAAAATATATGGCAACTGTCTAACTGCCAACCTTTTATTAAATTCCATGGTTGGCTTAATGCAGATTCTGCTAAAGTATCACCAAAAAAAACTGTACTCACCAGACACCTGACTGTTTAAAGTTAATCTAAAAACCTGTTGCTAGTACAGAGGGAGGATAATCACAAATATGACATGGAGCATTGTGGAGAGGGAGGGGGGGATACTGTGATTTTGTTCCAGGCATGATGTGTTCCTCTGACAGCAGAGAGACATCTAAATTTAGGCACACCCTCCTTCCTCTCCTCTTCATCCTCAGCCTCTCCTTCCACACTTTCTCCTCTACTCAGCTCCCCTCATCACCACAGAGACGGCGACAAGAGCCTGCGGTGAAAATATCGACAGCTCTTCCTGCGTCAGACAGGAGGTAGCTGTGCCCGAGTGGAGCAAGTCCTTTGTATGTGTTTATAGGGTCTATATTTATTACAGTGTGTTCTAAGATAGGGAAACGGTAAAAAAATTGTTTTATTATTGTCGTTTAGATGTGGTTGGAATGAACTAAGAATTTGTTGAAAGTTTAATTTAGTAAGCAACAACAACATATCTAAACAAAAGATGAATTCATTCAAATTTACAAGGCCATAAAATGCATTTACATTAAACTTTCTAATTTTAAAAGATGATGACATATTCTCAATCAATGGCAATCAATTTGGTATTTTCAAAGCAGAAACAGAAAATCAAGACAAATATTTGGATACTAAGAATAATGAGCTGGAGAGAAAAAAAAACATTTATGTAGCTCGCAGGGAAAATGACAAAAGTTTAAGGCTTTTCTGCTGAAAATCATGTCTTTTGTAGCAACAACTCAAAAGATAGCTTCAAAAAATTATTTAAGATTATATTTTAAAACGACACATTTGGACAAAATGTCAAAATAAAAATACTAATGTTTTAACCAATTCATTATAGCTGACTACTGGTCCACATAAGCACTTTGTGATTTAATTTACAATTCAGTGTGATGGGTCACATACAGCGGGTAAAATAAGTATTAAACACGTCACCATTTTTCTCAGTAAATATATTACTAGAGATGCTAATGACATGAAATTTTCACCAGATGTTGGTAACAACCCAAGTGATCCATACATACAAAGAAATCAAACCATAAATGTC